GCAGGATATACCGTAAATGCATTAAATAAATCAGCAACACAAGAAGAGCCTGCTGGATCCGACCCGTGGCCCACCTAGTCCTGCATCCTGTTCTCACAGTGGCCACCCAGTGGCTAAGGGACTGCATTGCAAATCAGGAATCATTGGTCTCAAATCCCATCACTGCCACTGAACATGCTCTTTCTCAGCTTCACTCCCCCCACCTGCAATATAATAATAATAATAATAATAATAATAATAATAATAATAATAATAAATTTTATTATTTATACCCCGCCCATCCGGCTGGGTTTCCCCAGCCACTCTGGGCGGCTCCCAACAGATTAAAAACAGAATAAAACATCAAACCTTAACAACTTCCCTAAACAGGGCTACCTTCAGATGTCTTCTAAAAGTCAGACAGTTGTTCATTTCCTTGACAACTTTTTTATTTTAAGTTTATATGGTTTTATGTACTGTTCTTGTGAACCACTTTGATGTTTTATTTATGAATTACAGTCGTACCTCCGCTTACATATCCCTCCGGTTACATAAACTTTGGGATATGTAAGCGGCAAACCCGGAAGTATATTTTCAGATTTTTGCCGCACACGCGCGCAAAAGCAGTCTCTCTGGTTGCGAAAACGTCGGGATCTGTCCAGACCTCCTGAACGGATCCAATCCGCAACTGGAGGTACCACTGTAGAGGTATATAAATAAGTCAGCATTGCAGTTCTCTTTTCATTATTAAGCAAACATAGTGGGTGTTCTCTCATTCAAAAACAGGAGATCCCCAAGACCCCCGATCATGCCCCTTCCCGCACTTTCTACCTATATACAGTGAACAGGCTCTCATCTGCGCGGATGCTGCTCCACCGCTGTTACAAGGTGCGTGTCCTGTGGCTTCACTGCCCTCGCTTTCCTTTCTTTTATTTTTATTTTTTTTAATCTGCCATGAGAAATTGGATTGCAGTAGCCCTTTTCTCTTCCTCCTCCCTTCCAGAGCGTGGCCAACCTGATAGAAAGACGCCTGCATGAGACCAAGGAGAACCGGTGAGTGAGCTGTCCTGGGGGGGGAGGGTGGTTAGGGCAAGAAGTTGGAGCCCTCAAGATCCACCTCCGCAGGGTCGCTCTTCCTCTGTTCGTCACTGCCGTCACAGCTTTGTGGTGCTGTGTGACAGGTTGCAAATCTCAGATTTTCAAAGGTCTGTTAAAAGTAGGAAACTCGCAGAGCTGACCCCCAATTCTTCTATGTGAGTTTGTCTCAGTGGGGCTCACCCCAGGAGGACTTCATGAATTCCGCCTTGTGAAGGAGTCTTGGTACTCTGCCTCGGGCCTTGCCACACCTTTGGCCAGCCTTAAACTGAAGTGGTGTGGTTCTGTCTGACCCGTGGCTTCTGTCCTGTGCCAGGCGTCTGCTGGAAAAATCCCAGCGGGTGGAGGCCATCCTCGCCTCAATACAGGCCTCGGGAGCAGAGGAGGCGCAGCTGCAGGAGATCGAGGAAATGATCACAGCCCCCGAACGGCAGCAGCTGGAGAGCCTCAAGCACAACGTCAACAAGTAAGTGAGGAGGAGCAGATGGTGGGGATCAGAGAAGGGACTTTGGACGTCATCAAGTCCAAGCCATTTGCTCAGTGCAGGATCTGACTACAGCGTTCTGGACAGAGGGCTGCTCAGCAGATCCTCCCTGCTCAGAGTGTGCCCCTCAATACCTGTTGCTGAGGGAGAAATGGAAAGGTGGGAAGGGGGTGTTGCCTTTATGCCTTCCTTATGGACTTCTCGGAAGCTGCTGATTGGCCACTACAGGAAAGAGAAAATTTGGGGGGTAAACATGCCCTCAGTCAACCCACCCAGACAGGTTCTTCTTGTGCTGCCTTCGTAGGCCAGGCCCAAATCAGAGTGCATGACCTTTGTTGTATTTAAGGGGTCACTTCTGTGGCCAGAATTGCCTCCAAGACATCTGGTGGAATGACTTCCATAAATTTTGATAGAGTGAGCGTGTCTACTTTTTTCTTTTTAAACCACACCACAGGGCTAATAATATGGATTTATTCACAAAGCCCTATCAAATTGCTTCTTGGGGAAGCTTAAATGTTTTCTCTCACACACCCCTCCCTGTGTGTATCTGACATATAAGATCAAGATTGTCACCTGATTACTTTTCTTAGTAATAGTGATACTCAAATGTCACAGCAGCCATCAGGGTAAAGGAAGCACTCCCCACCTTCTCTCTCTTTCTCACACAGATGAGAATAGACCACTTCTAAAATGTCATTTGCCATCTGCAGTTTTCACAATACTTGTATTTTTTTTAAATAAAAAAAAGTTTAGTTGTTAACTGGTTTTAATCAAGGACCATGTTTAGTTTATTAACATATTCTTAACTGAGTAATCAAAACTGACATATAATGTAGCTGGAATAATATATATATATATTCATATTTCTCCCCCTTTAACAAAGGATTGATGCAAGTGAGAACCAAGTGGATGAGACCATATTCATTTTGGAATCCTATATCAACAGCACCATCAAGAGCTGAACAACCCCAGTGACTACAAGGCAACGGAGAGCGGCTGTCTTCCTCCTCCCTAAGGAGCAATTCTGTCTCCCCATCACAAGCAGGGCTCATGGACACTGGGTGTTGGGTGTGCTTCAACCACTGCTTGTGACTCTATTTATGTCAATTTTTTACAAAAGGAAATAAAAAGACAGACCTGTTGACGTAGACTGGTTGGGAAGTGTTAAGGGGAAGAATGCATATTTGGGTGCGAAAGGATTTTTCTAAAACATAGCCTTGCCTAGAGAGCAGCTTCCCTCTTCCACCATCTTCCAGTTCAGAAGGAACCGCTGGGCCTCAGTCTTCACAAATATGAGACTTCAAGATTGCTGTAAAACAGGACTAAGTATTTTGTCCCTCCCAGTGGGTCATAGAGAGGTGGGTAGACTTGTCACAGTGTTCTGCCAGTGTGGTGGGCCCCACTAGAAAATTGAGCAGGGGCACTCAAATTACTGGATCACTGAATGCATTTCCAGGGCTTCAATTCTCGAACATAGCCTCTCCATAAGTGGCTGGAGGTCTGACATCAACATCACTTATATTTACATAGCTTATATACAGGAACCAGATCTTGTCAAAATGATTGTGTTTGGTTTGGCTTTGAATGACACTTCTATGCTGCGCTAAATGTTCAGAAAGAGCTAGATCCCAAACTTGTAATCCTGTCATAGATGAACCTTTGGGGTCTTTCCAACAGGAGGTGATCTCTAAATGGGCAGTGGTAAACAGTTGGGTCCTTATGTATAAGGGGAGGGGCTAGATCGGCACCCAATGACATGGTTTGGGTTCAATGATTTGACCAATAATATTAGGAGACAACCTCAGAAATGTTTTTCCAAACCCCAATAAGCTTATCACACTCAAAACTGTACAAGGGCCCATCTCTTGCTAAAGACCCACCAGCACTGAGACGAACTCACAGAGGTGCTACAGTAACATTGTCTCACCCACCCTAGGGACATAGATGCTGGTTGACCAGGACTTGCGGCCCCACCAAGGGTGCCCTACATACATAGATTCAGGCCCTTCACATTGCTGTCAGCTGTTGGCTTGGGAGTGCTGGTGGTCAGCCTGTTGGCCTATGTCTAGGGTGGAGCTAGCTCATGCTCCAGAAGCCTCTTTGTAAATTCCTACTTGAAGAGGATGTCATTTCCTTGCAAGTCTCATTGCCTGGTGTCCCACCTGTGTCACAAGCCTATGAATCAGTGACAGGCCTGTACAAGCAGGATCGGAGGCAATTTCCAAAGGGACTTCAGCGCCAGCAAGCTCTGCACTAATTCCAATGGCTTTCACCCGTCACAGCACTGTTAATAGACTACAGCTCCCAGGATTCTTTGGGGGAAGCCATGACTGTTTCAAGCGGTCTCCTAGCCCTTTAAATGTATGGTATGAATGTGACCAAAGTCTTATACCTCAAAGATTCCACCAATATTTGTTCTGACACAAGCTTTTGTGAGCTAGAGTCCTCTTCATCAGGTGTGTGAAGTACTATCCTCCGATAACAGGTAGTCTGTATATGTATATGTGTTGTAAAGGGCTATGAAATGCAAGCAGGACAGTCTGGCAATTCCATTGAAATGTAAATATATGCAAATACAAAACCATGGCCAATCACAACAGCAGCAACTGGTGTAACAGTCATCCGAGGTTGATCACTGTGGGCATACCCAAACCATACATTAAAAGCACATCTAGTGCACATTTAAAGTACATGGTTTTCCCCAAAGAATCCTGGGAACTGTAGTCTCTTACAGGTGCTTGGAATCCTGGCTCTCTGGTGGGGAAACTAAAGCTCCCAGGATTCCTTGGGGCAGGTCACATGCTTTAGTTTAAACACACACTGAATGTGCTTTAAATGCATGCTGTGTAAATACATTAAAGGTAAAGGTGCCCCTGCCCGTACGGGCCAGTCGTGTCCGACTCTGGGGTTGCGTGCTCATCTCGCTCAAGAGGCCGTGAGCCGGCGCCGTCCAAAGACACTTCCGGGTCATGTGGTAAATACATTAGTGCAGCTGTATTTAAATTGTCCCATTACAATTTCACGCTGGGTTGGATCCAATGATAGTGCTACTCAGAGTAGGCTCACTGAAATGATCGACATAACTGAGATCCATTCATTTCAATGGGTCTGTGAGTTGAACTCAACCCATTAATTATAACTCCCTCCCATCCCTTTGCACCTCGTATGCTCCATATACCTACCAACTTCATGCATCTATGTAGCTAAGCTCATGCCAGAATTTACTATACGAGTCGCCGCAACAAAACTCCGTTGCTTTTGCCGCAGTTGACTTAAACGCGGCTGCTTCAGAGTTGCTGCCCCTTTAAGCGGCAGCCTTGGGCGGCTGACCTCGCTCTGTCACATGACGGGATTCTGGCAACACCGGCGGCTTCTGCCCTTACTTCGTCACGTGGCGACGAGGCGCTGCGACGGTGGGACCAATAGGAGCTCTGGTCAGCTGCGCGGCCCTGCTTCTCTCTGAGCTGCTGCTGCTGATTGGCTGAGCCACAAAGAAAGGCGTGGTTGCAGAAGGCAGAGGTCTTGGAGCTGGGAAGCAGGTAACTCCTTTTCACTTCACTTGCCGCTTTCTATTATCCGGGCGGCGGCTCTAAGGTTGCACCCGTTCCCCCCACCTCCTCGGATGCAATTATGGAATCATAGAAGTATAGAGTTGGAAGGGATCCCGAGGGTCATCTAGTCCAACCCCCTGCAATTCGGGAATCTTTTGCTGCACGTGAGGCTCGAACTCACGACCCTGAGATCAAGCGTCTCATGCTGCACAGATTTGTAAAGAAACTATTTGCGCATCCTCTCAAGGATCCAGCTCTCCTTTCCTTCCAATATTTCTTCCCTATTTTGAATGAACTTTTACCCCTATGGGGCTGGGGGCGGGCCGGTGGGCGGAAGAGGGAGCTTGGCAATGGCGACTGGGAGGCGGGAGATAATGGAGAGGTTTGTTTTATTTCCTTACATTTATTACTGCTGTTTTTTCCCCTTTTGCTGGTGGTGATACTATTAATAGTAGTAGTGTTAATCGAATGGTTCATTCATTACACATTAAGGTCATAGAATATAAAGCTATCAGTGACTACTAGCCACAATGGCTATGCCATAGATCCTTGTGAATACCAGTTGCTGGAAGCCACAGTAAGGCTAGCCTGTTTCCTACAGGGATCTGGTTGGCCCCTGAGAGAACAGGATGCTGAAGTAGAGCCACTGGCCTGATCCAGCAGGCTCTTCTTTTGTACTTAAGGTCCCAGATTGGGTTACAATACATTATACCTCACCTTCCTCCTTTCGTGTCACTCACAACATTGTAGATGTGGATCACATGATGGGGTCTCCATTTCACAATCAAGCAGTAAATAGACCATGCCCTGCTGAGGTGGAAGAATGATGGCAGCCTGGTGTGCCTTCATACCATACGTAGCCTGTAACCTAAGACCCCAAATTTTTATTATTATTTTTCTTGTGGTTCCCCCCTCCTTTTGCTTCTGTGGTGGAGCCCAGGTAGTTTCCCAGATGCAGTTCTACTGCAGACACTGGCCAGATTAAAATTGGTCAAGGTGTTCGGAAGGTCAGAAGCTGCCTTGTACCAAGTCAGATTGTTCAGAATTGTCTATTACACTGACTGGCAGCAGCTGTCAGGGGTTTCATTCAAGAAATCTCAACCCAGCCCTACTTGGAGATGCCTTTGGGAGTTGAACCTGGGACCATATACATGCACAATAGATTCTTTTTAGTAAACCACTCTGAATGTTCTTCTACAATCAAGCAGCAGATACACTTTATGAAATAAAAATAACTAAAAAAGATAGATTCATTGTCACCGAGTATTTCGGTACATAGGCTGTCGGACAAAGGCCACATTCATATGCCCCATATATACCCAGTTGACTGCTTTGTTTGGCAAAATAGGCACTATTACAAGTGCCACATAATACCTGTCTGGCCTTTCTAAGAACTTGATCTTTTTGTGTGGCAGCACTTGCCTTTTAGAACTGCCTTCCTACTGATACCAAACAGGCACCTTCACTGTATTCTTTTTGGTGCCTGCCAAAAGCATTTTGCCAAAAGCAAAAGGGACGTGGGTGGCGCTGTGGGTTAAACCACAGAGCCTAGGACTTGCTGATCAGAAGGTCGGCAGTTCGAATCCCCGCGACGGGGTGAGCTCCCGTTGCTCGGTCCCTGCTCTTGCCAACCTAGCAGTTCAAAAGCAAAGTGCAAGTAGATAAATAGGTACCGCTCCGGCGGGAAGGTAAACGGCGTTTCCGTGCGCTGCTCTGGTTCACCAAAAGCGGCTTAGTCATGCTGGCCACATGACCCGGAAGCTGCACGCCGGCTCCCTCGGCCAATAAAGCGAGGTGAGCGCCGCAACCCCAGAGTCGGTCACAACTGGACCTAATGGTCAGTGCTCCCTTTACCTTTACCTTTACCTTTACTAAAAGCATTCTAACCCTTCCCAGATGCTTATAAGTGCTAATGTGAATTTCAATTTGTTTTAACTTTTTGTATGTTTTTAAACTATTGTAAATTTATCTGTAATGTTTTGTTTTACTCTTTTGTAAACTTCTTCGAGGTTTCTGTTACAGTCAAGCAGTGTATAAATTATGCAAAATCGAATAAATAAAATCCCCCCTCCCCATTTAATCCCCACAACAACCCCATGAGGTAGGTTAGGCTGAGACGCAATTACTGGCTCAAGGTTACCCAAGTGAACTTCCAGGCCAAGTGGGGATTGAACCCTGGTCTCCTAGGTCCTAGTCTGGCACTAACCACTACACCCCCACTGTCTCTCTCTTGCATCATGCTCAACCTCTCTTTAATGTAGGCCTCAGTGAAGCCTGCTTACCTGTCCAGCTGCCACAGCCATGTCGGATAGGGAGGAGCGCCGCTTTGTGGAGATCCCGCGGGAGTCGGTGCGGCTGATGGCTGAGAGCACTGGGGTGGAGCTGACGGATGAGGTGGCCTCCCTCCTGGCTGAAGATGTCTGCTACCGCCTGCGAGAAGCCACTCAGGTGAGGGAGGCCGTAGTGGGTCCAGTCCTGAGGATTCTGGGAAATAGAGGGGCAAGCTTTGCACCCTCCATCCCTCCTGCTGTTGACGATCCGTCTCCTTCCCAGCCCCAGTTTGCCAATGGGACACTATTTTGGTGACTGATCAGCCAGCTGGGCTTGCTGATCGGAAGGTTGTCTGTTTGAATCCACATGGCAGAGTGAGCTCCCTTTGCTCTGTCCCAGCTCCTGCCAACCTAGCAGATCAAAAGCATACCAGTGCAAGTAGGTAAATAGATACTGCTGCGGCAGGAAGGTAAATGGCGTTTCTGTGTGCTCTGGCACTTGTCACGGTGTTTCGTAGCACCAGAAGCGGTTTAGTTCTGCTGGCCACATGACCCGGAAAGCTGTCTGCGGACAAAGGCTGGCTCCCTCGGCCTGAAAGCGAGATGAACTATATCCCCATAGTTGCCTTTGACTGGACTTAACCGCCATGGGGTCCCTTACCTTTACCAATTTCCCCCATTCCTTAGGTTAAAAAAGAAAAACATGAAATCAAACCAGCAATGACATAAAAAACATACATTTTTAAAATGTAGATATGTATGTAATAAATCCAAGGAAACCAACAATGTATGCTGAAAGTGCATTCATTGCTTTTTTCACCTGGTTCCCTTTAAATATTTTGGATCTGAACTCCCATCAGTTGTGGGCAGCATGGTCATTTTGGACCACTATTCCCATTAGCCCCAACCTGTTGTAGTCTAAGGACGCCTGAAGGTCCACAGTGGGGGAGGGGGGGCACACCTGGAGCAGACAGTACCGTGATAGACATCCCAAGGACCTGACTTCATCTGATGTGACTTTTTGTATCTTCTTTCCTCTCGCTTTCAGAACAGTTCCCAGTTCATGAAACACACCAAACGGAGAAAGCTGACGGTAGAGGACTTCAATCGCGCCCTGCGCTGGAGCAATGTCGAGGTGAACCCAGGAGGCCTGGCATTCTTAAGAACTGGGCAAATCGGCTGGCCCCAAATGGACCCCTCTCTGGACACCTTCCCTCTTGGCGGCAGCTAAAAATCAGGAAGCTCCTTGATAGTTAGAATGATTTAGGATGCTGCTTTCGCTAGATGCAAAGGAGCGTAAGAACACAAGCTCCTGTTGGATCAGGCCAGTGGCCCAACTAGTCCAGCATCCTGTTCTCACAGTGGCCAACCAGGTGCCTTATTGGGAAACCTTCAAGTAGGACCCAAGCACAAGAGCCCTCTTCTGTCCTGCAGTTTCCAGCAGCTGGTGTTCAGAAGCATTTACTGCCCCTGACAACGGAGGCAGAGGATAACCGTCATGGGTAGCAGCCATGGATTGATTAGCTTTTTCTCCATGGATTTTAAAGCCATCTGAGCTGTTGGTCGTCACTGCTTCTTGTGGGAGCAAGTTCCGTAGCTGAACTATGTTCTGTGCAGAAAAGTATTTTCTTTGATCTTTCAGCCATCAGATTCATTGGATGTCCAAATTCATGGACTGATTAATGGAGGCTATCGATGATGGCTAGCCACAGTGGTTGTGCTCTCCCTTTGCAGTCAGTAATGCTTCATGGCCTAGGACCCTCGTACCTACGGGACTGCTTCTCCCGGTATGCCCCTCGGAGGACCTTAAGGTCCATAAATAGCAACACCCTAGGTTCCAGGCCCTAAGGAAGTCAGATTAGCCTCAACCAGAGCCAGGGCCTTTTCAACACTGGCTCCGGCCTGGTGGAACCAGGGCCCTGCAGGATCTGATTTCTTTCCGCAGGGCCTGTAAGACAGAGTTATTCCACCTGGCCTTTGGCTTGGAATCAACTTGATCCTCTTCCCCTCTTTCCTTTTTCCTTTCTCCTTCTGTGATGGAACTCCTATTTGGGGACTTCCCTGGCTTTTTTCTGGCCCACGTAGGACCAGTCTGGATAGTTGGCCTTGGTGAAGATTTTTGATTTGAGTTTCTACTGAAATGAGGCTGCATTTTAATGTTGTATTTTAATCTTGTTTTTAAGTTGTATTTTAATCAATGGTTTTTATACCTGGTGTTAACCGCCCTGAGCCCAGTCTTGGCTGGGCAGGGTGGGGTATAAATAAAACTTACTATTATTATGAATACCATTTGCTGGGAACCACAGGACGGGAGATCTGGCTCTTGTGCTCGGGGCCTGTTTGCGGGTTTCCCAAAAACAGTTGGCCACTGTGAGAACAGGATGCTGGACTAGATGGGCCATTGGCCTGATCCAACAAGCCTTTCATGTTATCAACTAAAACCAGGCAGATTAGTAGCCACCTCACGGTGGGGGGGGGGTCCTCTTTAATTGGTTGGCAGGCCAGTTAGGAAATGGTGTGTGTGTGTGAGAGAGAGAGAGAGAGAGGCTGCTGCTCCTGCTCCTGCGGCTGCTTTGCAAGGTTGGCGGCCTTGAGAGACTGAGGGTGTCCAATCTGTTGCAGGCGGTGTGTGGCTATGGCTCTCAGGACGCCCTCCCATTCCGTGCCATCAAGGACGGCGAACTGTACTTCCAGGAGGATCGTGAGGTCAACCTGGTGGAGCTGGCTTTGGCCACCAACATCCCCAAGGGCTGTGCTGAAGCAGCTGTGAGAGGTAGGCCTCATGGGGTAGGGAGTGCAGGGCAAAGGGTGAGGCGACTGCCCCAGGCAGCAGGGTCCACAGGGGCAGCAGATCCCAATGTAGTTCTGTCTTCCCCTCTTGTTCCTGACATAGATATGTCCCCACCCTTTCTTACCCGGCAGGGAAGGTGGAGGACCGCCATTTTGTGGTTCGCTTTCGGTGCCAAAATGGCTCTGCCCCTCCACCAACCTTGGCACCTGAGAGGATCTACAGAGAAGGAGGCTGTCTTTTTGGTATCTGGGGCCTGAGTTGCTTCGGGTTTAAAGTACTAAACCTGTCACCTTGAATCAGGCCTGGAAAAGGGCTGGCAACCGGTGCAAGTTGTTTTCAAGCAATGGATTATTTGAGATCTAAATGGAACCCCAGGCAGTAATCTGGCTGCTGCATTTTGGACCAATAGAAGTTTCTGAGTTGCCTTCAAGGGGGCAGCCCCATGCACAGCACATTGCAGTAGTCCAAGGCTGAGTTGAGCAGCTAAACCATGGACCCTCTTCTCTTTGCTCTCTTTCTAGTTCATGTTTCTTACCTAGATGGGAAAGGAAACTTGGAACCACAAGGCTCTGGTAAGAACAGTTTGCTTAGTTGTATTTATTTGAAATAATAATAATAATAATAATAACAACAACAACAACCCTGCTTCTCCCCTCCCCCATGAATTCCAGGCTTTAATGTTGTTGTTTTTTGTAATTTGTTGTTTATTACATTTATACCCCACCATTCCTCCAAGGAAATCAATGTCTTTCTCCCTCCCCCTGTGCCTTGCAAAAACAAGTTTGTGAGGTATGTTAGGACCTGCTCAATAGTGGCGCATGGCCCTTGAAAGGTCACACAGAAGGGAATGTGGCCCTCAGGTTGAAAAATGCCCTGGCTCTGTGTGGCCAGTTGAAGCGCCCCGGCCTTCTGCTCCATGGGCCTAGGCGACAAGGAAGCGATGGATTGCTGAACTGTGCCGGACTGAGGTGATAAACCTCAGGTCTCACTCCTGTCAGCAATTGTGCTGCAGCATTTTGCAGCTTCCGGATCAAGCGCAAGGGAAGCCCCACATGGAGCGCATTGCAGTTTCTGAAAGGAACCCTGTTTGTTGGTTGCTTCCTTTCCCCCCACCTGCTACAACCCCCACAGATCTCTCTCTCTCATCCTTCCAGTGCCCAGCGCCGTCTCAGCCCTGACAGATGACCTGCTGAAGTATTACCAGCACGTGACCCGGGCCGTGTTGGGGGATGACCCCCAGCTGATGAAGGTGGGCAATGAGCAGAGGGGTGAGGGAGCAGTCAAAGCAACGGCTGGGGCCACAGGTGGAATCAGAGAGCAGAGGGCAGATAAAAAGGAAGAAGCAGACATTTTCTGGTCTGGGCGCAACCTCAGACAGGTCAAGTGCAAAGTAGTGATGAGAGTGGTTTGTCTCACTTGCAGAGTTAACTGTCAGAAAGTTACAATGTCCATAAGTAGTGCGACTCTCAATACAACAGTTTTGTTTAATCTTGGCAATCCGTTTCCAAGGATTGAGTGATGGTCTTATATCCCTTTCCTTCTTTTCTTTCTCCTTTTTATTTTTACATGCAGAAAATATTTTCCCTTCTTCCCTCCCTCTCCTTCAGGGAGGGAATTCTTTTGATTTGACGTTTGGATCTAAGTCTTTTTTAACGCACCTCTCCCGGTGTTAGCTTATACAGCCTTTGCTTTGATCTATATACAAAACGGAAGGTGGACTTCCTGTTTGCATCTTCCCGCTTCAGTGCCAAATTTAACCTTCTTTTCTTTAGCCTTCAGTCTTAAAGCTTGACTTACTCACGGGTTGTTGTTCAATAACCAAATTGTCTCAGGAAAAGAGGTCAGCGCTCTCCGGCAACAGCTGCGCGGCTTCACTCCACGGAAGTAGCAATTGACTCTCAGCACCGCGCCAGACCCCCGTCTCGCTGCGGAGCCCCTCGCGGGGTTCCCTTGCAATTTGGGGGGGGCACTATAGGTGCCCGCCGAGTCCCGTGGTCACAGGCTTCCCCCGCCTGTGATTTTCGAAAGGGTCCCCGCTTCGCCGTAGCGGCAAGACCCGATTTCCGCGGAGCTATTCTCTCCGAGTTAGAGAGAATCCGCCATTGCCGATGGCGCCACCTCCGGAAGTGGTTTGGGGAGCATTTGGGTTTGCGGCCTGGAGTTTTGGAAGTGCATCCTGACCAGCGTTTGCCAACCATGGAATAGAAAAGACCTAAGTGGTTCAGGGCTTTATAAATAATACAAGAGCCTTGAACCTAGCTCAGTAGTAGTTTAGTACAACGGTTCCCATTAGCCCCAGCTAGCAGGGGCTCTTTGTGTATCATTGTTCTTTCTTATATCCTTTATTTCACACCATCATAATTGGAGCGAGGGCCACTCCATTTATTCCCAGGATGCAACAGGCCCTGACTCCATTGATGGTTACTTCCTTTGGAAGGGAAAAGGAGTGGGCAGGAACTGGGAATCAGTACTCAGCTATGAGTCAGACCAAGCACTCTCGTGACACTAGAGCTCGTGGTCATCCAATGAAGCCGAACATTGGAAAGTTAAGGACAGGTTAAAGAAAGTACTTTTCCCCACACAGAGCATGAACTGTGGAACTCTCTCCTGCAGGAGGCCGTGATTGGAGCCACCAACTTAATTTGCTTTAGAAGAGGATTGGATGAATTCATGAAGGAGAAGGCTATCAATGGCATGATGTCTATGCTCTGCCTTTGCTGTCGGGAGGCAGCAATGCTTCTGAATACCATTTGCTGGGAACCACAAGAAGGGAGAGGGCTCTGGGGCTTGAATTCTGCTTGCAGTTTTCACCACAGGCATCTGGTTGTGAGAACAGGATGCTGGCCTGCTTGAGCCATTCAGCAGGCTCTCCTTATGTTCTTATGGAGTATGGTGATTTAACCAGGCAGAATTAAGTCTCACCCATCCAAGGGCACCAACCTTTGCCCCCCCCACCTTGTCAGCCCCTTAACCTGTCCACTTCCCTCCTGCTCAGGTGGCTCTTCAGGACCTGCAAACCAACTCGAAGATCGCAGCTCTCCTGCCTTACTTTGTCTATGTTGTAAGCGGGGTGAGTTGATGATGATGATGATTAAATTTCATTTATACCCTGCCCTCCCCAGCCAAGACCGGGTTCAGGGTGGCTAACACCGGTATAAAACCAATTGATTGAAATACAACTTAAAAACAAGATTAAAATACAACATTAAAATGCAGCCTCATTTCAGTAGAAACTCAAATCAAAAACTTTTTGGGGATGAAAACGTCAAGTCTTCACCAAGGCCAACTATCCAGACTGGTCCTACATAGGCCAGAAAAAAGCCAGGGAAGTCCCGAAATAGGAGTTCCATCACAGAAGGAGAAAGGAAGATGGGAGGGGATCAATTTGATTCCAAGCCAAAGGCCAGGCAGAACAACTCTTTCTTACAGGCCCTGCGGAAAGAAATCATCCTGCAGGGCCCTGGTCTCATGAGGCAGAGCGTTCCACCAGCCTGGAGCCGGTGTTGAAAAGGCCCTGGCTCTGGTTGAGGCTAATCTGACTTCCTTAGGGCCCAGGACCTCTAGGGTGTTACTATTTATGGACCTTAAGGTCCTCCGTGGGGCATACCAGGAGAGGCGGTCCCGTAGATACGAGGGTCCTAGGCCGAGTTGAGTGGCAAGTGCCCAGTTTCTCCCCACCCCTTGGGAAGGGCTTCTGCAACAACCAGCACAAGGCTTTCCCACTTGGTTGTGTATGAGACCTGTAGGTGTTCTTTGGAGTGGCGCTTTCTGTGAAAGCTGGCATGAACCTCAGCTCACTCACAAGATGCTGGAATGTGTGCAGAGGAGGGCGACCAGAATGATAAACAGCATCTTGTAAGGAACAGTTGAGGGAACTAGGGATGCTTAGCCTGGAGAAGAGGAGACAGGGAGGGGATATGATGGTCGTCTTCAAATACCCGAAGCTTATTATGTGTGAGAATGGATTATTATTAGCAGTTCCCAGAGTGGGTTTAATTTAAAACCTAGTTTATTTTCTACTGGTGTATCAATATACCTTGATGCTTGATTTAACCAGATTAAATATCTGATTGAAAATTCTGGGGGGAAATTTTCTTTTCTTTTTTTTAAAGAAAGGATGGAAAAAATAAAAGTCATAAGCAAAAAACAGTTGAAACGTATTATGTTTACAAGAATACAACTTGGGCCCTAAAAGCACACACTGCAGATGCCAAAGGTTGCGTCTTCAACATTTGCTGAAAGCTGTGTAGTGAAGGCGCCGGGCTCACCTCTGTGGGGAGGGAGTTCCACAGAGCAGGTGTACCGACCCTCTGAGTTTCTGAGCGGGATGGAACAACCAAGAGGGCCCCTCTACTGACCTAGGAGGGACTGTAGGGAAGAAGGCCGCCTCTCAGATATTTGGGGCCTACGTGGGAGTGAGAGAAGGAGGTTGTGTTTACAACCGCTGTAAGGTTAGATAGGAAAGAAGGCATCTCCAGGCTGCGAGGGGTGCCCACCCTTGAGGGAGAGGCTGTGTGCCAGTCAGCTAAGGCCCGAGGGCTGCCCAGAGGGTGATGTACGGCCTGGTCCTCTGCTTGGTTTGAGGCTGGCTTCTGAGCCTGCCTTTCCTCTCCTGGATCCCCTGGCAGGTCAAGTCCGTGAGCCACGACCTGGAGCAGCTGAACCGCCTTCTGCACGTGGCCAAGAGCCTCATCCAGAACCCCTACCTGTGCCTGGGCTCCTATGTCAAGAGCCTCATTGCCAGCGTCATGTACTGCGTCCTGGAACCCCTGGCGGCTTCTATCAACCCCCTCAATGATCACTGGACCCTGCGTGACTACGCAGCCATGCTGCTGGGACACATCTTCTGGTATGCCATTTCCTCCTTTGGGGCAGGGAGAGCCTCCTCTTTGGGATGTCACCTATTGAAATGTCTTGTGGAGTCTGCTTTTTTTTTTTTAACAGGTGGCCTCCTGTCAGGGATTTTCCAGTTGTGGGTTGGTCCAGATGACCATTGGGGGTCCCTTCCAATGCTACAATTCGATTATTTTATCTAGCACAAAAGTCCGGGGGCCACATTCAGTCATCAGCAAGTTTAAGGGAGCCTCATGCAGGCATAGGCAAACTCAGCCCTCCAGATGTTTTGGGACTACAATTCCCATCATCCCTGACCACCAGTCCTGTTTGCTAGGGATCATGGGAGTTGTAGTCCCAAAACTTCTGGAGGGCCAAGTTTGCCTATGCCTGGCCTCACGGATGGAGTTAGAGGCAATCGTGGACAGAGGAACAGACATGACCCTCGGCAGTAGGCTGTATTCCTGCCACACCAAAGCCAGTGGTTAATACACACACCCTGGCTTCATTCTGACATTCTGGGGGAGCGAGTTCCAGAGTTTAGCAAATGTGTTCCATGAAGAAATATTTACTTTTATCTAGACGTGCACTGTCCCATCAGTTGAGCAAGCCCCTGGACAGAAAAATCTCCTTAACTCTTTTAGCATCCTCTTGGTTGATTCTATTTCTCTGCTGCTTTTTATTCAAATAAATCCCCAAGCAGCTTACAAATGAAAGATAAAAGTAACATCATGGAACATCATGAATACAGCATAAATTGTATAGAACACAACAAATCACCAGTAAAACAGTCACAAATCACAAATAAAACAATTGCCATCTATGTAGCACTATTAACAAAACAACTAAAATATAAGCTAAACATCACAGTTACACCAAAAATCTTGTTATAGGATTCACAAAGTACGACAGCATTCATATCTATAAAACAGTATTAGCAACATTAATAAAATAGCAACAAAACAAACAAAGCCCTGTTGAATTTGTACTCTTGACAAGCAAAAAACAATGGTGCCCAAACGAGTGTCTTACAAATAAAGGTCTTTTAAAATGTTGCTTGTCTATCCTGACAAATCAGGTTTATATAGCTGAGGCTAACTCTACATTCCACTGCAATCCAGCCCACCCAAGAGAGAGGAGACACAGTAAGGAATAGTGCTTCACTAAGCAAGCCATTTCAGAAGACTCTCTTGGGTAGGCTAGTTTGCAGGCTCCTTGGGGCAGGGACCTGCCTATTGCTTCCAACCCCCTCCCCTTTTCTTCTTTTGCTTCTGCCACAAATTGATATATGCTACATACTCTGCAAATCTTTTTCAGGACTCACGGTGACTTGGTGAGCGGCCTGTATCACCAGATCCTGCTGTCGCTGCAGAAAGTGCTGGCCGATCCCGTCCGCCCGCTCTGTTCCCACTATGGGGCTGTTGTGGGGCTACATGCCTTGGGATGGAAGGTAACTGATGTTCTTGTATTTTATTTATTACATTTTTTTTGATACCCCTATGCATTAGACATATCAGAGCCATCTTTATCAGTTTCACATAAAACCATACAACGGAAACCATATGGAAAAGTTAAAATCAGAAAACCACTAACCGTAGATGAAATAATGTATTCTTAACTGCCTGCATAAGCCTGACAGAATAGGAAAGTTTTCAGTGGTTGGCACAGAAAGGCCTGCTGGATTCCTAGTGGCAGAGAGTTCCACCGGACTGAGCCAATGACACTAAAGGTTTATTTATACAGGTAGGTAGCTGTGTTGGTCTGCCGTAGTCAAAACAAAATTTTAAAAATCCTTCCAGTAGCACCTAAGAGACCAACTAAGCATCTTAGAGACCATGCACACGAAACAAACTTAGTTGGTTTCTAATGTGCTACTAGAAGGATTATTGTTGTTGTTTGTTTCGATTAAAGGTTTATTGTCATTGTCAAATGAGCTTTGTCCACTCAGGAAATGACCAACGATGCTCCTGCAGATGATGTCCGCGATCAACCTGGAATATGAGGGTTTTGACAGTCCCTTAGGTACCCTGGATGTAAGTCATTCAGGGATTTGTAAATTAATGCAAGGACATTGAACCTGTAGGGTAGTACTTGATGGGGTAGCAGATGGGCATTTTGTGCATGTGTTTCCACACTGGTGACCTGTGTTGTTGGGCAGGTGCCCCCATCAGCAGTCTGGCCACCCCATTCAGCACCAGCCAGAGCTTCTTCTGAACCAGGCCCAAGGGCAGCTCCATGTAAGTCGCACTGCAGTGATTTTGCCTGGCCATTGCAGGGGCTACAGAGGTCTTCCTCTTGGCTGTGTCTCCCCAGCCTAGTGGCCAGCACAGCTGACCTGTGCTGTCTCTCTGTTTCTCCGCCTCTTCTCACCCAGGCAGTGGAGAGGGTTCTCTATCCCCACCTCTCCACCTACTGGTCAAACCTGCAGGCCGTGCTGGATGACTACTCTGTGTCCAATGCTCAGGTGAAGGCTGATGGGCACAAAGTCTATGGAGCCATCCTGGTAAGTCCCTGCTGATACCGTATGAGATACTTTTTTCATTTTTAAAATTGAATTTCATTGACAACAAGCAGGGTTACAGAAAAAAAGAATGGGGTGATAAGAATAGGTTGTCGCTATTGCCAGTATGGAAATATACGATGCAGCCACACAATTTTACTGCATCAATAAAAGGAAGAGGAAAAGGGTGTGTGATCTATTATTACAAAGGGTTCCATGGTCTAATCCATGGTCTAAAGAGGCATTTGGGGCCACCATCCCTTTGGTTCCAGAAACTCATCCCCAGCGCCCTCTACTCTATAGAAAGCGCTATTTGCAATAACTGTTTGCACGAACCACTAAGGAAGCTCAATAAAATCCCAAAACAATGTGTGTTTATTCAAAATTAAATTAAAACGTGTTAGTTTAATGAATTACGCTGAATAAAATTGATTAACTTGATCTGTGACAGCAGCTTTTCAAAGTCTGATAGTCATTGACACCTCCAGTCGTCATCCCCGACACCCCATTCCTCTTAGCACCCCACTAGGCAATCCCATGGTCCCCCCCAGGGGATGGCGCCACCCCATTTGGGAACCACTGGTCTAAATCAGAACAATTACAATTTTCTATACTTTGAAAAAAGATGGAAAAAGTAACCTTAAACTGTGCTAAATCCAGACAAATGCACAGACCTGTGCGACCTGACACTCCTGAACTGCTGTGTTTGTATATGAAATAAACCAAATGGCAAAGAAAGGATCGCAAGCCCTTTGGACACTTTTAGCTTATGTGAGATTTTTTCCAAGAAGGGTGTTTTGCGAAGAGTTGGAATAACCAATAGCCCAGATATTGAGATCAAAGGGCTTCAAAAACTTGGCAGCTGAGGCCCAAGGCTGCTCTCAAAAGATGTGAGATCTGTCCCTTAGTGTCTCAGTCCAAATCTACAAACAAATTCAAAAGAGACGAACGAGGGGAGGGGCGATTTCTGAGAAATCTTGGCCTGCAAAATATAGTCCAACCTTCCTGTGGTCAGGGACGATGGGAGTTGTAGTCCAACAACAGCTGGGGACCCAAATTTGAGAAACACTGTGTAACCCGTCCCCCATGAGGCCCAGCCTGCGAGCGCATTATGTGCCAGCCCACTTCTGCCCACTGCCAATGCTCATTTGATGTGCTGTTCCTCCTCCCTTCCTCCAGGTGGCAGTGGAGCGGCTCCTGAAGATGAAGGCGCAGGCTGTATCGGCGCCCGTCCAGGCGGAAGGCTCCGGCGCAGAGGGGCGCTCGCGGGAGGGCTGCCCTTGGCTCAGCCCTCTCCAGGACCCTCAGGTGGAGTTCGGCTTTGGCATCGCCAGCCACCTGCTCCAGCTGGGCAGCGGTGGGCCCCAGGCCGGTGTGGGCATCTCCACGGACCCCCCCACCACCTCGTTGAACGAGATCTACCAGGAGCTGTACTACTTCTTTGGGGACAGCCTTGCCACCCGTTTTGGCACGGGTTCGGGGCTGTGCCCGGCCGAGCCGCTGCCAGCCAGCACTCCCAAGGTGGTGGACGCCAAAAAGGAGCCGCCGGCCTTTGGGGGTGGGGAGGCGGCCCGCAAGATGCCCCAGCTGACAGCCAACGCCACCGTCAGCCCGCGGGAAGAGGAGAGCCCCCGTGGGGAGTTCTCGGCCAGCCGGGCCCCCCTGCAGCGTCCCGCCAGCCTGGCGCGGTCGCGCAGTGCCTCTCGCCAGCAGGGGTACCGCCTGGGCGTCCGGGACGTCTTCCAGAAGTGCCGCTTCTCCCCCCAGGGGCCGCCTCGCTTCAGCTTCTTGATCGCGGGTCGCCAGGCGGAGAGGCGGTGCCAGGGGCGCCTCTTCCAGACCTCTTTCCTGCACCACCACGGCCCCGGCCACGTCTCCCGCTACACCCAGAAGCTGCCCATGATCGGAAGGACCAAGGCAGTGAAGAAGTGGGCCCACTCAGAATACTCTCTCTACCTGCCTCTCTGAAAGGGACCTGCCAGGGTGGTGGCGGCAGCAGCAGCAGCACCCAGCCCTTCTGGGCCATGTGCCCTTCATGGCAATGTCATTTTTTTAATTTAAAAAAAAAAAAATTCCCAAAGATACACACTATTCAATTAGAAATAAAAATACAAAATAATAACCAAACAAAGAAAATTAATCATACACCCATGTGGCTTCCCTCCCCCAATACTCGTCATCTCTTAATCTTTAGGCAATGCCATTTTTTAGGGCCACAAGCTTTCTCAGGTAGAGCGGCGACCTCTTGTTTTATTCCTGGCGATTTGGGACTTCTTTTTTATCGGCTCTTCTTCTTTTGAGGGGCACAATTTCATCACCGCTTGTGTGGGAGGTTGGGGGCAGAAGAGCAGAGCTGGTTTTACAAAGATGTCAACCCTGGAACTGTGAAGGGTGAGGGATTTGGGTTTGGGGCGAGGCTCCCGGCCGGCCTTTACTAATGTGCTGGTCTCCAGTTGTTTTGAACTACAACTCCCAACAGCCTCAGCTACCACACACTGGCCAAGACTGCTCTAGGCGTTGTCTGCTTGTGAAGGCACTGAGGACATACTCAGCCTCCTCTGAATGGGGGCTCCGGTCCCGTCCCCCCATTCCCCTACCAAAAGAGAAAATGAATAAAGGAGCCCTTTATTTCCCTGATCTTTTTATATACTGATGTCACAGTGGGTCATGCTGTTAACCAGAAGGTTGTTGGGCCAAGTCCACTCAGGGATGGCTGCGGGCAGGATTCCTGCATTGCGGGGAGGGGGTAGACCAGATTACACTTGGGGTCCCTTCCAGCTCTACAATGCTGTGATTTTATTATTTAAATTGTGTTCTCCCCCCCCCCCAAAAAAAGAATCCTGGTAGCCATAGCTGTCAACTTTCAGATTTGAAAATAAGGGATCAGCAGCCTCACCTGTCCCGGAGACAAAGTCTACGGGATAGCAGCGCTGAAATAAGGGAATTTCCTGCCAAAAAAAAGGGAAGGTTGACAGCTATGCTGGTAGCTAGTTTGTTAAGGTTACTGGAAATTCTAGTTCTGTGAGGGGTCAAACTACAATTCCCAAGAATCTTTGTGTAGGGGTGTGCCTTAAATGTACAGTCGGTATGTAGCCCTGGACTGAGACAAAGCAAAGTGTCAGATTCACAAGTTAGGGGGGGGAAATCTTAACTTTTTTTAGGAAGCCACTAAAAGTTTTGGGAGGGGCCCCTCAGGGAGGAGCAGGCTTATAGTGAGTGCATGAGAATATTTCACAGGAGATGCTTTTTGTAAAATAAAATGTCATCCTTTGTGTGTGTCTCTCTTCTCTCCCTTCAGCACACACCCCTCAAACCTAAGTCCGGCCCTGGTTATAATATAACAAATGCAATAAATAAAGAAGTAAAATTGGTGCGTCTGTGCCAGTTAACTTTAGTGCTGCTGTCAGGCAGAAATCCCACCGGTGCTGCTGGACTGCCTGCCTGCGTGCAGCGCCAAACGCTTTGAGGTCGCGGCTGCCAACCCTCAACCCTCGAGCGCTGACGACGCCTCTCCTCTCTCTCTCCTCCCCTCCGACGGGGCGGAGACCGGCAGCCGGGCAGCCCCTTCCCAGCACCGTCGGCTGGAAGATGGCGCAGCTGTCCGGGCTGCTCCTGGTCGAGCTGGCCCTGAATGCCGCCGCCTTCCTGTGCGGAGTCATTTGCTCCTCCGCCCTCACCGTTACCCAGGTAAGGTCCCGAGAAAGAGAGGGCGATCCCGGACCCGCAAAGTCGCCCTTTCCCATCCCGGGTAAAAAAGTTCTGCGCTTTTGCGCTCGTCCCGTTAAAAAGCCACCGCTTAGTGGCGCGAGAGTGTTTCTGAGCGCGTGAAGAGGGCGCCGGGCTTTCGCTTGAGTGCAAAGGAGGGAGTGGCTATGCACGACCAGAGCTGCGTCGTTAGGCCTGCCAATGTGCAGAGTGTCCAGCATTTTTGCTTGTAACGTAGCAATAAGAAAGGGCACCCCTGATTGCACCCAGAGAGCAATTTATGTTCTACATGGTGGCTTAGAATTCATCTCTTCCATGTTGGCTTTTGAGCGCCAGAACCTCTTTAGAAAAACAGCGTGCTTTTATAACCGCAGAACACCCAATCTTTGTATGTATGGGATGAGAGGTCCAGGGGCTTCCAAGTCAGAGGGTGTCACACGCGCCTGATTTTAAAAAAATTAAAATGCCCAACCCATCTATTACTGCCTTTCTGAGTTTGCATTCAGAATTCCCTGAGCTACCTTGGGTGGTGGAGAGTTTCAGCAGAGCTGGAAAGTTTTTTTTAAACAACAACAATTTGTGCACTCTGTCAAGTCTCTAGTCCTCATGAGCCTGCCTATTCATTCCACCACCTGGCCCTGCTGTAACAAGAGGCAGCTACACACAAAACAGTTACGCCAACTTGAAACCGGTTTTGCCTAAGTGGCTTCATTCCTCGCGAGGACCTTTGGAAGTCTGCTGTTTTGCTGGAAAGGCCGCGAAGACTTCTGAAAAAAATGGTTCCAAAGGTTTTCCTTTGGGAAATGGGGAAATCTGAGCTCACAGCTACTGACCCAACCTCGGATTGTTGCAAAAGATTTATAATAATGCACCAAACTTGCATATTTTTAAAAAGAGGCAGTGTGGTGTCGTGTCATATGAGCATCAGCCGTGCACATTAATGCTCGTCAGCTGAGAGAGAGTTTGGCTGACTTCCTGCACAAATCCTTTTGCTGCCGGGAGCACTTTCGCCCGACAGCCTTCCTGGCCTGTGTCACATGTGCTTGGCACTCACCTTACTGGCCTGTGCGGATGAACACTCCCTTGTTTTGGGATGGCTTATAGTTGCACTGGGACGCGGGTGGCGTTGTGGGTTAAACCACAGAGCCTAGGAGTTGCTGATCAGAAGGTCAGCGGTTCGAATCCCCACCACAGAGTGAGCTCCCGTTGCTCGGTCCCTGCTCCTGCCAACCTAGCAGTTCGAAAGCACATCAAAGTGCAAGTAGAGAAATAGGTACCACTCCAGCGGGAAGGTAAACAGCATTTCCGTGCGCTGCTCTGGTTCGCCAGAAGCGGCTTAGTCATGCTGGCCACATGACCTGGAAGCTGTATGCCGGTTCCCTCGGCCAATAAAGCGAGATGAGCGCCGCAACTCCAGAGTCGGTCATGACTGGACCTAATGGTCAGGGGTCCCTTTACCTTTATAGTTGCACTGGCTCTTTCCCTGGGTACAGTGGTTTGGAGGAAAGAAGAGGCAACATCTCAGCCTGGGGTTTAGAATTCTAAGAGTAAATTGCCTGGGAACAGATGAAAGAGCTTAGGCAATCACGGAGGGGTTGGAGCAGATGCAGTTGTTGTTGTTGTTGTTTATTTTTTTGCTCAGAGCAGTTTTAAAAATACCAAAATTATCATCAAGAATAACCTCTAACATAAAAACCCTGCAACACACTTTTTTCTTTCTCATGTTCAATTATACTGCCATAAAGCCTGCATTGATTAAATGATGCTTTGTTTATTGTGGGGAGAGGAGGCTTTTATTTCTTTTCGAATAAATAGGGTTAAACATTTGGTCCAAAAAGAAAAAGAAAAAAGGTTTGTTCATGTGATCCCTATTTTATTTATTTCATAAAATTTAGATACCGCCTGATGTAGGGGAAAAACCTCAAAGTGGTTTGCAAAAAGATAAAACAATAAAAATGATCATTTAAAAAATTTACAACCACAATTTAAAACATAACAGAAAGCTAAGACCACAGTAGAATAAACTAAAACAAATTAATGTGGAATGCTCTCCCCAGGGAAGTTCATCTGGTGCCTTAAATATGTCTGTGGGAGTGGGGGTTATTGTTTTGTTTTTCTTATTGTTTTTATTATGTGCTTTGTTATTCTGTATTTTTATGCTGTGAAGCACCCTGAGTTCTTAATTCAATAAATTAAAAATAAAATAAATAAAATTTTTCTAAACACCTGGGTGGGCTTGTCTAAATAATAATGCCTTCAGCAGGCTCCAGAAAAAATACAGTGAAGGTTCCTGCCTGATATCAATAGGCAGGGAGTTCCACAGTGTTGGTGCTGCCACACTAATATTAGTCAACAGTTGTGAAGTAATTTTTTAAAACGTGTCCTTTATTAGAAGAACCACAAAAGTTGTTTATTGCATTTATGTGTCGTGTTCTTTCAAAGACCTCAAGGGGTTCCCCCTCCTTTAATCCTCGCCACAAACCTGTGAGGTAGGTTAGGTGGAGAGAGAGCGAATGAAAGAAAGAGAGAAAGACTGTTCTGAATTGTTCTGGGGAGCTTCATGAACTCAACCTGGGTTTATGCTGCTCCTTTTAACCGTTAAACCACACTTGCTTCCTTTCATCATCAACAGCTTCAACACAGATTATGCAAGCAACACCATTATTAGTTGCTGGGGGTCATGAAATTAACTTTTTTTAAAAACCACATGCATGCTAAACGTTATATTTTCAAAACGTGAAGCAGAGTACTCTCTGGTTCTTGTATCAAGGAGTTCCATAGGGCCTTGAGGCACTTTCAGCCTTTGAGGCCACTAGCTGTAATAAAAATAAGGCTGTCAATAACCCAAACACAAAATAAAGCACCGAAAAGAGATTGAGACATAACAGGGGTTTTTTTTAAAAAAAAAAAGAAATACAGTAAGTGCTTTTCTGCCTGAGAGAGTATGTCACATTTGAGTCTGTTATACATAAAAACAAGTTGTTGAAAAATTAAGAAGTGTCAAAATTTGACGCCCCCTGTTGAGCCCATTGCCAGGGCCAAATGGCCTTTCTGACAGGCTGAGCTAGGAAGCAAGCAACGCTCTCACCTGCCTTTTCTAGCATAGTACAGGCAAACCCCCCCCCCCGCCATTTACGTGTGTTCAAGGCATGCACCACCCAGACTGTGTGCATTGCTATGAACCTGGAAGTGGCACAAAAAGGGGTGAAAATAGCATGAAAATGGCAAAAATTGTTCAATGGCAAAATGGCAAAAACAACATCTAGCAACCCCATAAACCTTTGCACCAACATTTGAGGCCTGTGGAGAGTTGGAGTGTGGAGGAAGGAGGTTTGTGGGGAGCGATTGTGGTGGAATTTGCTGGATTTGGGTTTTTTTTTAGAAAAGGGTTTTTCAAAGGTTTCCAGAGGGTGTCTACAGGCTTTTTCAATGGTGTTCCCAGTGCGATTTCACTTAAACGTGTGGTACCTCGGAACGTAACCCCCACATAAATGGGGAGCTGCCTTTAATCGTTTTTCTTGGAAGTATGTGGCTTTCTGCAATTTTCGAGAGAACAAGTCCAAGGAACTTGCCATACACATTAAGGAAGCGACAGAAGAAGTGGTCACTGTGGGTTTATTTCTCTTCTGCCTGCATATGCTACAGGCATTGACTCACACGCGACAGCCTTTACGCGTAAATAGATTCAAACCTGGAAATGGTGGGAGAGAGCTGGAGAGTCTCTGTGGCATCAGAAGAGGATTTTGTGAGTCCAGAGGGACAGGAGGTGCAGTGGGGCTTTTTAAGCTGCTCAGCGCCCCGCCCCCCCAACAGTGTATGCATGGGGTTGCACAGCTACAGCGGCCACTTTTCCACAATTCCTAGAGCTTTCAGCTGGCTCCAGAGCTTCCATTCTAGCTGTGGATATTTTTGGATACAGCATTTTTGGTCTGGATTGTAGGGAGTGCAGCAGAGAGGGCATTTAAAGGGTGTTTAGAGGGTGCTCCCCACTTTTCACTTATGAGGGGGCAGGTTGTAACCCACCCACCCTGCATAAGGGGGGGGGCGGCGGCGATGCCTGTACTGTCTAGGGCAAGATTGGGGAGCCCTTTCAGCCCAAGGGGCACATGCCCCTTCAGGTGGTGTGGCAGGTGCCAGTGATGGGCGGGGCGGAAAGTAAAAGTGGGCGGGGCTGTGGCTGTAAATTTTGCCTTTGTGCAATAGGCTGAGGACCCAAATAGCTAAAAGAGTACCATCCCCGTTGTCAGCCATCTCAGACCGTACAGTGGGCAGGAGAAGGGGTATTGTCGGTGTCACCTGTGGGGGCTGCTTGGTTGACGTGGATCTGTGACAGGGCCTTCTCAGTGGTGGCTCCCTTGGTGTTGACTTTTAGGAGGAATCCCCATTCTTTCTCACTTTATCCCTCTCTTCCTTCCTTCCAGGGGGAGTTCGGTGGCCAGTGCATCCTGTATGGGTCTGTGCGCTACAATGGGACTCTGAGCTTAAGCACTTCCAGCCACGTCTCGCTTTGCTACTTCGTCTCGGCCGTCTCCCTCCTGGCCGCCATTTCCTCCTTCGTGGCTCTTCTCCGCAGCGTCTACATTTCCTGCTTCGGTGACAGCGAGAGACGGTCGTGAGTCACGAAGGCGGGGAGTGAAACGGGGAGGTTTCCAGTTGGGTTAGGTTTGGCTTATTCTTGACAGCCCCTGTCCTCTGTCTCTCTCCCACAGGGGTGACGTGTGGGTCAAGGCGTTTTTGGTTATCTCAGCTGTGGTCCTCTTCTTCTTGCTCATCTCGGCCTGCATCCTTCGGGTCGGCATGGATGCTCTCTGTGGGTCCATTCATACTTCTGCGGCTGCACCGAGGTAAGTGCCAGAAAAGATGCTCAGTCCTCGCTTGGATTGGTTGCCTTTATAGCTCACCTTTTCCTCAGAGAAGCTCAAAATGGTGGGCCTGGTTCTTCCCGCTCCTTGTTTAATCCTGCCAGCCTGTGAGGTAGATCAGGCTGTGAGCAGTGAGTGATCCTTTGGTGGGAAGCCATGACAGTTTTAATTGGCATCATAGCACATTAAATGTATCGTATTAATGTGGTCCGTGTATTGATGGCTCTGTATATTTGTTTCTCTCAGAAGTCTTCCCCCCTCTCTTTTCCCCCCTTCTGGGTTGGGGGCTCAACTACCGGAAGTCTTTGGTTAATTCTCTCTTGGTTAGTTCTTTAGTGAAACATTTATTTAATTGGAAAGCAGCTGAGATTTCACAAGGTCTTTTTGCCTTGATAGCTTAAGTTATACAAGCTCTAATTTTCATCAGCTGATAGTCTAGCTCAGAAGCTTTGGGGTAAATGATAGCAGAGTACCATGTGTCTGCCTGCTAGCAAGTGGTTTATGGAGGCACCCTCCAAGATAAACATAGGTCTGGATGTGGCTTGTCTGCTATACCTCTAAAATCCTGTCCTCAGGGAATACAGGATGCTGGGTGGGGGTGTAATTTGCATGACAGGCTGTAGCTCAGTGGTAGAGCATCTGCTTTGAATGCAGAAGGTGCCACATTCAATCCCTGGGGTCACCCGGTAGGAGCAGGAGAGATTCCAGTCTGAAACTCTGGAGAGCCTCTGCCGATCTGTGTAGACAATACTGAGCTAGAGGGACCAAGTTCAGAAAGCAGGTTTCTGTTTAAATGTGTAACATGCACACATATGAGATATTATTTACTGCCTTAAGGGTAAAAGGACCCCTGACCATTAGGTCCAGTCGTGGCCGACTCTGGGGTTGCGGCGCTCATCTCGCTTTATTGGCCGAGGGAGCCGGCGTACAGCTTCTGGGTCATGTGGCCAGCATGACTAAGCCACTTCTGGCAAACCAGAGCAACGCACGGAAACGCCGTTTACCTTCCCGCCGGAGCTGTACCTACCATATTTTTTGCTCTATAAGACTCACTTTTTCCCACCTAAAAAGTAAGGGGAAATGTTTGCGTGTCTTATGGAATGAATGCAGACTGCACAGCGATCCCAGAAGCCAGAACAGCAAGAGGGATTGCTGCTTTCACTGCACAGCGATCCCTCTTGCAGTTCTGGCTTCTGAGATTCAGAATATTTTTTTTCTTGTTTTCCTCCTCCAAAAACTAGGTGCGTCTTGTGGTCTGGTGCGTCTTATAGAGCGAAAAATACAGTAGTTATCTACTTGCACTTTGACGTGCTTTCAAACTGCTAGGTTGGCAGGAGCAGGGACCGAGCAATGGGAGCTCACCCGGTTGCAGGGATTCAAACCACTGACCTTCTGATTGGCAAGTCCTAGGCTCTGTGGTTTAACCCACAGCGCCACCCGTGTCCCTTAGTATTATATAAATAATGTGTGTGTCTATGAGATCGTTTGCTGTATATTAGTATTATATGAATATAGTATAGCAGTAGATACAGGGAGTTTGCATCATATTTCTATGCTTTTAGATAGATGTTCCCATTGTTATTCTAGATTATATGGATAAATATGCATAGGTAAGTAATGCATTGTATTCATGTTATTATAGAATACTTCAGATATAAAAATTATATATACATATATGGCACACACAGGAATAGAACCTTGTTCTATTTTGAGGGGAACCCATGTTGAATCCCTGGCAACATCTTCAGGTAATACTGGCAATGCCCCTGCCTGGAACCCTGGAGGGCTGCTGCCAGTCAGTGTAGACTGCACTGAGGTAGATGGTCCCCAACAGTTTCCTGGGCACCTGTTTTCACTTGAGTGACACCTTTCGGCTACAGTGAGTTAACTGCCCTGGCTTGTCTCTCCTCGCTTCCCGCCTTGCAGTTGTCAAGAAGCTCAGCGCCGCCCTTGGGTCCAGCCCTATCGTGCCACAAGGTTCTATGACAACCTCTACACTGCAGAGGTGAGTGGTCCTTAAATGGCAGACTATTGAATCAAAGCTGTTTGTCGCTGTTCCTCAGCTTCTCCTTGGCAAAGGGGTCTTATCTCAGTCACACCCCCAGGTAAAAATGTTCGCCACGTACAGAAATGCAGTCTTAACTGCACTTAATATTTGTCCATGTTCTGGTAGCGTAATCCATGTGTTTACTTTATGCACCATTGTAGATGCCACACAATACCCATCCTGCATCTTATCTTTTTGTGTGGTGGCACCTACACTTTGGAACTCCTTGCCACTTGACAGCAGGCAGGCACCTTCACTGTATCCTCTTCTGCACCTGCTAAAAACATTTTGGTTTAGACAAGCCTACCCAGAGATCTAGAATGCTGGTGCGTGCCTTATTCTGTTTTTAGCTTATTAATGTTTTTAACAGTTTTTACTGATAAGTTTTTTCCTACAGTGGTGAACTAGAAGAAATTAAAAATTTACAGCTGCCTTTCCCAACCTGGTGCCCTCCCAACGTTTTGGAATGCAACTCCTGTCTATACAGCCCACGGCTCAATACAGCCGTTGAAATCCAAAACATCTTAGAGGGCACCCGGTTGCACAAAGCTGGTTTTCATTCTGACTTTGCCCCTTCTTCTCGTTTCCCAACTTCAGGCGGCTGCCTGGGTGAACTTCTTCTTCTGGTGTTTGACGGCGTTGCTGCTGTACTTGGAGAGTGTTGGCAAATTCCCATTCCAGCCCCCTCAGAGCAGTGGCCTCACGTGGAACGATGACGAGACAGCGCCTATCATTGGGGATGGACCACGTGGGCCTTCATGAAGTGGGGGTATCGCCACCATTATCATCTCTGCTGCACTTTAGGGAGCAGCTCCGGGGCACCCCGCTTTTGCCTTCTCCTTCCCATGAGCTTCATAGAAGACGGGGGGGGGGGGTCTCTCTCTCCCTTATTGTGCCCGGACAGCAAACCTTTCCGAAGAACCACCTGTTAACTTCTAATGGACTCCTTCACGTTACGTGGCTGCTCGACTAGAAATTGCAGAATTGCAAGAACCTGGAAGGTGGCCAGCAGCTTAACTGTTTGAGCAATGGCTCTGCAGACGTTTGCATTTCCAAGGTGGAAAAATTGAGATTTGAGATAGAATTGGCCAAAGGAAAGGCAAAGTCTTTTGACTTCCTTGCTACCTGGAGTCGACTTGTGGAGTACGTTCAGGAATGTCCCCAAGATCCTCACTTTTCTTCTGCCTTCCTGAAACTGCAGAACACTATCTGAAGTGACTTCTGTAGTCAGTTGGACTCAATAATTTCTCCTACTTGGGATAACTTCAAAAGCTTTCCAACGGCTTGTTCTTCTGTGGTGCGGTGAGGGAGAACCTGCCTGTTTCTATTGTTTTCTCACAAAAAAAACCAATAAAATATATTTTTAAAAGACCTTCAGATGGGCAAGCACCTTCTGGAGTGAGGTGCTGGACTTTTAATATTGCCGAAGGGCCATAGAATCTGTCTCTTTTCCATATTAACAGCGCCCTCTAACTTCCCCCCTACCCATTCTCAGCCCCTCTTGAAAATGGTCAGTCTCTGCTACAGGACAATGTAGGAAGGTAGGAATCTTCTTGTGCTTCGTGAGACCATTGGTTCATTAGCTCAGTATTGTCTACACTGACTGGCAGCAGCTCTCAGGGTTTCAGACAGTGAGTTTTCTCCCAGTCCTTCCTGGACATGCCCAGGATTGAACCTGGACCTTTGCATGTAAAAGCAAATGCTATGCTACTGAAAGGATGAAAGGTAGGCTGTGTCTCTGTAAGAGCCAAATTTTCATACCTTTGTGGACTGAGAACAGGTCAGGGAACCCTCACCTACTGCCAGTGCTGAGCTCCAATCAGCTTTGCAGCTCTGGGCCTATAACTCACATCCGAGTCACACTCCAGGCATCTGGCCTGGGCACCTCCTAAGAAGAGGCATGTTTCCTGCGAAGGGACTGGGCCTTGTTTTTGCGGACAGTTGAGCATTATACAGTCAACTCGCATACATTTAATTGCAGCTTTACACCCTTGGTGGCTGGCAGGCTGAAATTGCACAAATTAAACACATGCACGGTGGAGAGCTTAAAAGCTCTCAGACTGGCTTTCCGGGCTCTGCGAAGCTACTGTGAGATCTTGTGAGAGCTACCCAGAGCCCACACAAGAGTCTTCCAGAGTCCAGCAAGCAAGACACACCTGGTGCAGCAGCTTTGGAAAGGTAGGGATGGTTGTGCAGACGTGGTTCGGGGGTTGATTATACGCCGTTTCGGCTTTAAGCACAACCACACACACACGGAACATGCTGCAAGTCGACTATGGGAATGCGTATCTAGTTTGTCTGGTGTGTATCGATCTTGCCTGCCCGTTTGCTGGTGATAAGGGTTAACTTGTGTAGCTGATAGGAGGAGCCAGTGATGTCCATATGAAGCAGGTAGACAAAGGCTTTTTAAAAAGGTGGCTAGCCTCCAGGTGGGTAGATCAAGGTGGATCTCTGCAGGCTAAGGACAAGCTTGGGAGAGAAAGCCAGCAAAGGAGGGGTGTGCAAAGAGAACAAAGGGGCTTGAGTAAGATTTCGTTTTGTTTTGGCAAGCCTATCCAGATATGTGGAAGGTTAGTGAATGTTCTTCATTCATTACTGATTTTAATTTTTTTTAAACTCTTTTTACCGATTTTTAAAAATTATTATTATTCCTTTTTTGGAGAGTTAAAACAACAACTATCAAACAGTATATACATTTTATGAAGCAAATAAATAATAATCAGCCCAAATTTTGGTTGCAAGTTGAGCTAAGCTTTATTTTCTACATTAAGCAAGTTCAAAACCAAAGAGATAAAGTAAGTTTGTTTTTTTTGGTTGTTGTTTTTTGAGACTGGTGTTTACAGGTGAAAAGGTATAACTTGTGGGTGCTTCTGCCTTCTGCTGAAAGCAGTATCTACCAGAGATTTCCTGGTAGATCCCCGGAAATGGCTGTTTTGTGAATTCCCGGAACACCACAATTCGTTGGTGGAGAAGCAAGTTTAAATCTGTAATGTGGACATGTGAGGGTCAGTAAGCAGCCTTCTCCAACCTGGGGCCTTCCAGAAATTTTGGACTACAATTCCCATCAGCTGTGCTGGCAGGGGCTGGCTGATGGGAGTTGTAGTCCAAAGCATCTGGGAGGGCCACCGGTTTGGTAAAGGCTGGTCTAGATCTGCTTCATTACAGAGCCCTGGACAAAAAGAGAGAGAGAGAGAGAGAGAGAGAGAGAGAGAGAGAGAGAGAGAGAGAGAGAGAGAGAGTTCTGATTCCTTCTTCCCAGGTTGCTCATCAAACATATGGGGTGCCTTCCTCTTCATCACTTGGGGTGGCACTAGAGGACTTCAGGAGGACTGCAGGGCCTTGGTACTCTGTGCAGTCCTCATCGTGGATGTAAGGTGTCTCGATGCCGTAAAGCTGGACGACTTCACCCTTGCACTCCCATTTCTGCAAGCATGAAAGGAAGGGGGGAATTTAATTGCATTAGCATGATTGCAAACTCCTTGGCATGCTCCATGGCGCATCTCCAGATCGGGTTAAGAGCCTTGCCAGCAGAGGTGGTTTTAAGGTAGAGTGACTGGTTCTTCCACGCTGCAGGTGGCAACACAACCATGCTGTAGAATGTAGCACAAGAGTTTGGGGGGGGGGGCGCAGAATTTTAGTGTTGCACAAAGCGCCAATGAAATTTGAGAGCCCAAAGTCTTACCACTGCTGCTAGAACCTCCGGAGAACAGGCAGCCAATCAGAATAGGCAGCCGATACAGCTTCATACAGCACAGGAGCCAATGACATCGTGCGTTTAAAGCGCTACAATACCACTTTAAACAGTCATGGTTCCCCCCCCCCAAAAAAAAGAATCCTGGGAACTGTAGTTTAAGGGTGTTGCTGAGAGTTTATTAGGAGACTCCCCTACTCACCATCACAGCTGCAATTCCCAGAGTGGTTTCACGATCCAATACCTCTTCCCTGGTAGCTCTGGGAATTGTAGCTCTGTGAGGTGGAATGGGGGAGCCTCCTAACAACTTTCAGAACCTTTAACAGCCTACAACTCCCAGAATGCTTTGGGTGGAGCCATGACTGTTTAAAGTGGTACCATAGTGCTTTGCATGTATGGTGTGAATGGGCCTTCACTAACTCTGTGGAGCACCGCTATGGTAGGAACAGAGCATTGCGAGGAACCTGAGAGATCTTCTAGTCCACCCTACATATATTGGTGGACTCCAACTTCTGGAGGGCCACCAGATTCCCATCCCTGAACTACAGAGTTTACAAGTACCTCCATCGGAGGAGAGGAACCCACCCGCCCACCATTTACTGTGCCGTTGAACAGAGCTCAGCTAAGTCCTACTCAGAGTAGGACCCATTCATATGAATGAACCCAAGTTTGCCATAGTCATGTCCCTTAACCTCAGTGGGCCTATTCTGAGTAAGACTTGTGTTGACACGCCATGACATTTGCATGGTTGAAATTGCACCTTCTGCCTAAATTTGCTCCCTGCCCTATCCGACACTGGAATGCGGCCCCTGGAAGGTGGAAGGTTGCCCACTAGGAAGTGTGGCCCTTGAGTCAAAAAAAATGTGTTCCCCCCCCATCCCATTGTAGCTGAGACATAGAATCATAGAATCATAGAGTTGGAAGAGACCACAAGGGCCATCGAGTCCAACCCCCTGCCAAGCATCAGAGCACTCCTGACATATGGTTGTCAAGCCTCTGCTTAAAGACCTCCAAAGAAGGAGACTCCACCACACTCCTTGGCAGCAAATTCCACTGTCGAACAGCTCTTACTGTCAGGAAGTTCTTCCTAACGTTTAGGTGGAATCTTCTTTCTTGTAGTTTGGATCCATTGCTCCGTGTCCGCTTCTCTGGAGCAGCAGAAAACAACCTTTCTCCCTCCTCTATGTGACATCCTTTTATATATTTGAACATGGCTATCATATCACCCCTTAACCTCCTCTTCTCCAGGCTAAACATGCCCAGCTCCCTTAGCCGTTCCTCATAAGGCATCGTTTCCAGGCCTTTGACCATTTTGGTTGCCCTCCTCTGGACACGTTCCAGTTTGTCAGTGTCCTTCTTGAACTGTGGTGCCCAGAACTGGACACAGTACTCCAGGTGAGGTCTGACCAGAGCAGAATACAGTGGCACTATTACTTCCCTTGATCTATTGATGCAGCCCAGAATTGCATACATTTCGGAGTGTGAAGGGGCTTCCCACCAGTAATGAATCAGACGTGTTGGCCTCAGACCAGCAGTGTGTGGATCAGGCCTAAAGGCAGCGGGAACAATCCAACCTCACAGGGCTGCCAGTGAGTGACTCCCAAGGTCTTCCCAGTTCAACTATGCCATATACCGGCATCTGCTGTTGTTGTTGAAGGTAGCTGTTACAAAGTACCGTATTTTTCGCTCTATAAGACGCACCAGACCACAAGACACACCTAGTTTTTGGAGAAGGAAAACGAGAAAAAAAATATTCTGAATCTCAGAAGCCAGAACAGCAAGAGGGATCACTGCACAGTGAAAGCAGCAATCCCTCTTGCTGTTCTGGCTTCTGCGATAGCTGCGCAGCCTGCATTTGCTCCATAAGACGCACACACATTTCCCCTTACTTTTTAGGAGGGAAAAAGTGAGTCTTATAGAGCAAAAAATACGGTACTTAAACTCTAACAGAATTAAAACAATATTAAAAACAAATTTGTTAAAATACAGACACGAAAAACAGCACAGCACTATTAAAGGCCTTTTCCTTTTTAAACAAACAAACAAACAAAGGCTTGTCGGAACAAAACAGTCTTCGCCTGCCAGCGGAAGGACAACAAGGAGGGAGACAGTCTGGCTTCTCTAGGGAGGGAGTTCTAAAGTCTGGGAGCAGCCACTGAGAAGGCCCTGTAAAAGGCAGCTACAGCCCCGCGACCCATTCCCTTATCTTCATCAAACCCATTTTAAAACCTTGTAATAAGAGGCCTCTTCCTCACCTTGGCATCAAGTGGGATTTCACAGATCTCAGCGTCCCCCTCCGCCTGGTCCTTGCTGCATTCGGCCTTCACCAGCACTGAATTCATGTGGTAAATGCGTCCCATCGTGTTCTGGAGGGAGAAATCAAGTAAATTGTTAAGTGGCCTCGCTCCTACGCCTCCCATACTCAACAAGGCTGCATCTGTGTGTTCTGCATCGTCTTAATAAGGGTTTTTTTCGTGCAAATTTTCCTGGGTGTAAAGGTGGGAAGAAGCTACAGAAGTTGGCGCAGTTGGGTAGCTGAGTAAATGGTTCAGACCTGCAGTCTGAAGCATTTAATAGAGCTGGAGAGCTCAGTCAGTAGAGTATGTGGCTCTTAATCTCAGGGTCATGGGTTCAAGCCCGGGTATAGGGTGGTATATAAATAATAATAATAATAATAATAA